CTCCTCTCAGCCCAATTCACTCATTTGTATTATCTGCCCTATTTCTGTGGATTTTAAATTCTGCCATCCATGGTTAGAATCAATCAAGAGGAAAAATATTTGCATAAATAATTATAACTAGAAGTAGAGGTTGAAATCACTGTGAGCGTTTCCCAATTCATTCAGTAACTATTTCCTGAGTTTGTGCTCCTTGTCAAGCATCTCACTGCTGCTATGGATCCCATTAGTACATATTCTATTGCAAAAGACACGTGGACAATCAGTGCACACCATGAAGAGGCTGTAGTTGATTCATGTGTGTGAGATACATCATGGCCCAAAGAGTGACTACCTTTACTTGGAGGTGAGACATACAACACTTGAACTGAGTGTTAAAAGATCCTAATCCAAGTCACAGAGATACGAAACAACATGCCAGACTCAGGGAACCCCAGAGTTTGATATGGCTGGCACGGAGGGTGGCTCAAGACAATTAAACTAAGAAGTAAGGGAATCAAACTTGCATGTCTGCTGGGAGAATGTGTTTAGAAGATCAAAACTATAATCAAGGATACTTCAGAGTTGGTGACTTTCCTACAGGTGGAAGCCTGAATTATAGAGTATAATGGGGCTGGTATGGGAACTATGATATTCTGAGAGAACAGAGCAAAGCAGTACATGATAAAGTATTGAAACAGAAAAAGTGAATCCTCAAGTGTCAATAATTCTAGAAACACTATTCTGTAAGATAGTGTGTCATTATCCCTTTATACAATTCAGGTCTTTTGCTGCCATATGTAAAATATAATTTAATTTAGGTTTTTAAAAACTTTAAGTTTCCTTTCTATCAAAATGCTTGCAATAAGAGACGAGCTCCAATGCTTACTAGAAGTGAGCACTTAGACAAGTTGACTTTTCTCAAGCCAGATAAAACAAGACCTCCCATACTTCATAGGATTTGATTCTGAAATAGGAAAAAATCTATGTGAAAACATTTAAAATTATACAGTTTAATGTAATGTGTTATTAGTATGCAAAGTTTAAATTAGGAAAATACATCAATTAAAATGTACTTAGGGCATTTTATTTGCATATTATTTTATAGATTTATTTCTTTGTTATGTCTCATCATTATTAAAATAAACATCATAGCTCACTGTGATACGCAATTCTATTTTCAAAAGGCATTTAAATCTCACCAATTGCAGAAGTTCCAAACATTTGGATTTAAAGGATTTGTTCGAGTAGTTTGACATAAAATAAAACCGATTGTCACTCAAATAAATAGTATGCATTTTATGTAATTACAAACAGGAGATGATATGTCAAAGTACATAGGTCACTAACAAAACGCTCTCCAGAGGAGCAACATAGAGAAGAGGGCCAATGTTTTATACTGACCTTTTAAGCTGTATGCTTTCTGCTTAGAATTGCAGTGAAGATTAAATATGTAAGGATAATTTTTAATGGCATAAGAATCATAATCTCTCTCTCTTCTTTGTGAAAGTAAAAGACTCCCTTATAAATTTTTGATAGAAACATTTTTCTTTCCGCTTCACTTTGCAGAAATAAACAGTGTGACACAAACGACAGATTTGCTTTGCTTTTCAGTTTTTATTTATTGATTTATTCATTCATTCATTTACTTATTTATTTTTTTTGTCTGAGAAACATGAGGAAGGAGTTAGGCCTACATCAAATTAGAGGATGATGACCCTTCAAAAGAACAAGATTGAAACCCAGTGTTGATAGAATGTTTGTTTTTTTAAAATGAAAAACCACAAATTTGTTTTATGCAAACTTTCCTAATTTTAAACATAACTAATTCAAACATTTGTTAATAATGTGGATCAAATTCAGTCTTCAGCTTGTAGGTTTGCAAAAGATATATACTATTCTACGTTTTTAAATTTGGAACCATAAAAGCAGTGTCCTTATCCTGCCTTTGTTATTTCCTAAATTCGCTTAAAAACTTTGGCCACTCTGGGTCTAGTCGGCCCAGCACAGTGCCTGCTGGGAGCTGATCAGAGGTGGAGAGGACAAGCGTGAGCCACTCTTCTCTGCAGTGACCCTGCTCCAACTCACCAGCCCCCAGATGGTGCCAGTTTGTGGTCCTTTGTCTCGGGGATTTGTAGACCCAAACTGCAGCCATGAATGAAGGAAAAAACGGGCACTCAGAATGAAAGCATTGCTACTTTGATGGGAAAGACTGGTTACAACTTACTTGGGGAAAATGCACAAAGAAAATTTGGTGGCCCTCCTGCAGGTTGGGAAGATGCACCTCCCCCTAGAGCTTGTGAAGTTTTTGTAGGGAAAGTACCTCATGGTATGTCTGAAGACGAGTTAGTTCCTCTACTAGAAAGCTGGGGAGATGTACGTATTTTGACATGTGGAATTTAATGGTGAAAATAGAGGTTATTCTTTTGAGATATACCCTATAAAAGAAGAAGCCCGTTGGCGATCTGAAGTCTTAAAATTGTGAGATTTGACAAAGGAAATTTATTGGTGTGTCTGTGTGTGACCTTGGAAAATAGTAGCTTGGTTATTGGAGCTATTCCAAAGGAAAGGGAGAAATTTGGGATGAAATGAAGAAAGTTACAGAAGGAGTTATAGATGTCATTGTTTATCACAGTGCAACTCATTAGACCAAAGATCGTGGCTCTGCTTTTGTCAAGTATGACCGTGACAGAGCTGCTGTGAGGGCCAGGAGCACTCTGACTGTGGGACCACAGCATGGAAGGGTCCTTTGACTGACTGTACCTTCTGAGGGAAATCCTCTGCCTTCAAATGTTTATCCAATGCATTTCCTTACCTCTTTGTTCTTTTCTCAAATATTATCCTCTCAGTAAATCCTCTCAGGACCTATCCTGTGTTGTTTAGGGTTCTCTGGAGGAAAATAATTAAATTATGCAAAGAGTTTTTTTATTAGATAGGCTTACAAAGTCTGAGTCAGAATACTTCAAAACGGTTGTCCACGTGCTACAAAGCCAAAAAGCTAATAGCTTCTCAATGCAAGAAGTTGGAAGCCATAAAGTAAGAGGAATCTAGTTTGGCGCAGCATCCAAGACTGAAAGCCTAGAAGTCCCCTGGAGAGTCACTGGTGTAAATCCACCCTAAAAGATTGGAGAACCTGGAATCTGATGGCAATGACAGTGGTAAAAAGACCCACTTGCTCAAGAAAAATAGAGATTTTTCAACACAGGCCAGCATCTTTCTTTTTCGTTCCATCCAGGCTATAAGCCTATTGGACGGTGCTGCCCACAGTCAGGGTGAGTCTTCCTCCCTGTTGGCTGGCCTGCATGCCAGTCATCTCTGAAAATGCCACAAAGAGACACCTAGAAATGTACTTTACTAATCTGCTAGGTGTGTCTTAGTTCAGTCAAATTGACAATTAAGATTAACTACTCTGCTTTCTATTTTTTTTCAAATTACAGCCTTCTAAAATATTATATGATAAAATTTATTTACTACATCTATTGCTTTATAATGCTCTATCTTCATTAATATATAAGCCCACAGGAGCAGGGATATTTGCTTAGTTTGCAAACATTCTGAGGACTTGGAGCAGTTGCTAGTACAGTGGATGCTAGTTAAGTACTGGTAGAATAAAATAAATTAACTCTATGTCAATTTACCTCTGACTATCACTTACAGTACAAGGTCTAATGTGTTCACACTCTTCCTTATAGTAAGGCTAGACATAGATACAATAATGCATCATTTACACATGTAAATGCAGTAGCAAATAAACTGCATCATTAGTATAAAAATAGATGGCTCTTTATCATTCTTACAGCATAGATACAATAATGCATCATTAAATAATGAATGTACTCACTGCATTAATAAATGCAGTAGCAAATAAACTGCATCATTAGTATAAAAATAGATGGCTCTTTATCATTCTTACATCATAAGAGTAGGAAAATAAGAGAGGAACCTCAGCAATTGGAACGGAGATGTTTGAGAGAGAAGGGTGGGTAATACAAAAGCCACCCTGCCCAAATTTACAGCCTTAAGAAAATATTTTTTAATTACTAATTAAATAAGATCAAAGCAGATACCTTTTAGCCCTTTATGACTCTATCACTACAAAATTATCTTGTCTGTACAAAAACTCAGTGAACCCAGTGGCTCAAGGTTTGATTGCTCACTATTTAAATCATAACCCTCTAATCTGCATTTGTAGTTACTTCTGGAGACCCAGTTTCTTATCTTTTCCCCAGTTGCTTCCAGACTCCTCTCTGTGGATATCCCACCCTTGTCTGTTACTGTGCCCAAATTACTGCTCATAAGCTTACATCCCATTCCTCCTCCTCTTACGATGCCTTACAGCTCACCCTCTTCTTTCTCTGATGCCCAAGTCACTCTCTGTACCACCTCGCCCTGTTTCAAGTTTCTTCTCACATTCTGTCCTCTGGCTTCCTTCTCACTGCTGTCACCCTTGATCCATCTGTCACTTCTTCACACTTTATTACTTGGGCAACATTGTAAATAGCTTTCCTGCCTCTCACCATATCTAAACTTTCCTCTTCATCAACTCTACATATAACCATTTGTTAATCTTCCTAAAATAAATATTTGAGTATTCTTAATGCCTCAGAATTTTCCAGTGAGTACAGAATAAATTTTAATAAATAGTAAATAACAAACCCATGACCTGGTATCTAAGAACTTTCATGGTCCATCTCTCATCTCCAAAAATCTCTCCCTCCTTTAGGACATATTCATCCTATTTGGTGTACTCAATGCAAAAACATTTTAAACATAGAAAGGGAGAAGTTCAGTTTAAGAAAATGTTTTAGAATTAAGGAGTGATTTCACATGGTACCTTGATAGTTATGACTGTGACGAACTGAGACATCAGCCTGATTAGCCTCTTTTCTGATGTGCAAATATAGTATCTCTCTTTGGTAAACATCATCCTAGTAGTGAATGGCGAGTATCATACAATGAGAGTAAAACAATGGAAATCTTGAGTGGGCCGCCCAGTGAGCTCTGTTCTCCCCTTGTTTCTACAGGGAGCCCCGCAAAGTGGTCCTGCACAAAGGCTCCACTGGCCTGGGCTTCAACATTGTGGGTGGAGAAGACGGAGAAGGTATTTTTGTGTCCTTCATTCTAGCTGGTGGACCAGCAGACCTGAGTGGGGAGCTCCAGAGAGGAGACCAGATCCTATCGGTAAGTGTTTCTCCTTAGAGTTCATTCCCTCCACGATTGTCTGGTGTCTGCAAAATCTCAGTGAACTGGTAGCTCAAGGCTTGATTACTCACCATTTTAATCCTGACACTGAAATCTGCATTTGCAGTTGAACACTTTATGACCTCAAGGGCCGTCTGGTTTAAACAGTACAGAGGTGCTTGGTGTTCATTACATTTACTTCCTTCAGTTAAAAATGAAATGCTAATGTTTTCTTTTAGGATTTCTGGGATATATTTGCACTCAGAACACTGAGGAACATGCCTATAAAAATATAAAATTTCTCCATAGTTGTGACCATACTCTTAAAGGTAACATCTTAACAATGTTTCATATAAATATAAAGAAAATGGATAAAATAATGCTATACATAGTTTGCATTGTGATAAAGTGATAGCAGCTGCAACATTTATCTAAGCTCTAGAATGACCAGCAACAATTTATTAAGCACCTATTAAGCCCATTTTAATGATGTAGAATTGACATACAAAAAACCGTACATATTTAATATGTACAACTTCCATTACAATGATCTATGTCATGTTCATATCCATCACCTCTAAAAGTTTCCCTTGGGGCTGGTATTTAGCTCAGTGGTTCCAGTGCCTGCCTCACAAATGCAAGGACCTGAGTCTGATATCTGGGATCAGAAAAAAAAAAAGTTGCCCCTGGCCCTCTTAATTTGTTATTGTGTGTGTTAAGAATTTTACAGTCTTTATGGCTAAGTAGTACTCCGTTTTATAGAAAAACTACATCTTTATCCAGTTTCCAACTGATGGGCAAATGGGCTGTTTCCAAGTTTCAGCTATTACAAACTGTGCCGCTATAAACATGGGTGCACACATATCGCTGTGGTATGATTCTTTTAATTCTTTTGGGAAGATACCCACCAGAGGGATGGCTGGGACAAATGGACCCTCTAGTCATGTAAAGGTACAAGATCCTAATGATAAATGTAACTGTACTGTACACTTAAAAAGTACCAATAAATTCAATGAGAAAAAAAGAATATTTATATAACATCTAATCTTTTAACAAAATTATGAGTATACAATGCACTATTGTTAATTATAGATGCTGCATTCCATGGTATTCATTTTGCACAACTATAAAAGTAATTTTTAACTCTCACAGTCACCCTGAAATATATTGTCCCATTTTCAAGTTAAAAGAATAAGGTTCAGGTCTGGGGATTTAGCTCCGTGGCACCGCAGCTGTCTCACAAATGCAAAGACCAGAGTTTGATCCCCAATACCAAAAAAAAAGAGAATAAGGTTCTAAAAAAGCAGCTAATTTGTCACAGTTTACCTGACTAGTTAATATGTACAACTAATGCATGTTAATAAAAAATAAATAAAAATATTAACAAGTTTGCTAATAAAGCCAAAGCTGAGATTTAAATGTTCAACTTTAATGCCCCATCCACCCAAAGGTCTCCCTCCCCTCTTCCCTTTCAAAAAACAGAAGGGTTTCTGTTTTTCCTTATATTTTTCTTTCTATGTTTCCTTTTACTTATTCAAATATTTGTTGACTGTTTCTTTCTCCTAAGGCATGCTACCTTCTTGATATAATAGATAGTTAAATCAATCTCTGGGTTTTATACCCATATTTAGAATTTTGGTAATCATGCAAATAATAATAGAGAATTACATAAGGAGCCCGGTTTGTAAGGCAGAAATGGGTTCATAGCTTGATGAAGGACATAGTTTATGATTTTTATGATAGACTCAGGAGACATTGCTTTCATTTTATAGCTATGATTTATAAATAGAATTTTCTAAGTGTCTTGATAATTATTAGCCATTATTTTAATCCTTAAACAAATGAACATCTCTTTCTCTTTGCATCCCGCTGTCTCTGTCTGTCTCAAGTCTGTCTGTCTCTCTTTCACACACACACGCATACACACTCTCACACACAAGCTCAATTTACCTAGCTAGTGAGCACAGCTAATTGACCTGAGTACAGAGAATGTCTAGCATTCTGCATGCGTGGCTTTGGCTTCTGTGTTTCTGTCTCCCACATGCAGACCTCTGCACACTCATGAGCTTGCAGATCTGTGGATGCTGAATATGGGAGAAATAAGAAAAGGTCCCATGTCAGGAACTACTGTCCAAAAACTGAGCGAATGCTTTGATATTTGAATGATATATAAAATATAATTTGCAGCTTTTAAACTTTATTGTCCATATAGGTTCACATGTCTGTCTTTTTCTAAGTGATAAACTCCGTAAAAGAAAGTTCTCTGTTATATATGGTTTTCTATCCTCAAAATTTAGCACAGTGCCTGGAACATATGATTTTTTTTCATGAATATCTCAGCCCTGGCAATCTAACCCCAGAACTTTTTCACTGAGCTACAGCTCTAGCCTTTTTTATTTTAAGACAGGATTTCACTTAGTTGCTAAGTTGCTCAGGTTGGCCTCAAATTTGCAATCCTCCTGCTTCAGCCTCCAAAAGCCTAGTTTACAAACAAGCATGTGCCATCACACCTGGCTTCAAAAAATGTTTAGTGAGTGAAAAATTATGGAATAAATGTGATAGTACCTTAAGCAGTGACTATAGCCTGACAGATAGACCTAAAAGTCAATATAAATCATAGTAACACATGTTAAAATTTGTGCACTGGAATCACTCTTGTCACTCGATCCCATCAGAATTCACAGTCTTAGTACATTCTCAGTCAAAAAGTACCTTCATATGCATTAACTCTAGTTATTCTGTAAGAAATCTAAGTGTCTGGATAAGTTGTCATCAGTTCCATTTTCCAGATTAGGGGAAAAAGGGGGAACTTGGGAAGGCTAAATGCCTGATACAAAGCTTTGGCTTTGGAGTTGGACTCAGAAGCAGGACTCCCACCCCAAGTTAGTTTCTTCTTCTTCACAGCACACCCTTCAAAATTCTGTCAGCAGTCACTGGTAAATACTTTTGGTGCACACTGCTGTACAGAACTGTAAAGAACTAATATTTGCATAGCACCATTAAGGCAGTCATTATTTATAACTAATTTAATCTTACAATGCTATGCATTATTATGCTCAGTTAAAGGATGAAGAAACTGAGATACAGAGATAACATTAGCCTCTCTACTTTTCTTTGAGTAAGAAATTCAGCAGACTAGGCTCTGTTTTTGACTTTCATACATGTGAAGACAAAAAGGGTAAGATACCAATATTCTATGGCTCAACTAAGAAAACTCTCAAGTAATTTTTGTCTTCAAAAGTAGATGAATCCATTTCAATATGCTTACTGGTATATATTACGCATATAGTAAAGCAACCAACCAGAATTATAGTCTTCTTAGAGATTACACTTCATGAGGCTTAGCAACAATCTCTGGAGCTCAAATAGCATATCCCTTTTTATGTGTAACAATTGCAAGGTGAAAATCTTATCTGCTTTTTCCTGGGAAGGGAAAAAGGTACACTTTTCGCTTAGCTTGCTGAAAGTATTTAACTTCTAGCTAGAAAGTAGCTAGTTTCAAAGCTAGTCATTATCCAACAATTAGAGAAAAAAAAATAAATAGGCTTGAGAGGCTTAGACATTACCAGATGGAAAGAAAAATGGCAGAATCTAATTACTAATAATGGCAGATGAAACAAAATATTTTGCATTGGTAGTTTGTGCTGGACATTAGAGACAAACTGTACATTCTCAGAAAACACAAAGCAAAAACCCTAAATATGAACCAAAACTAATTACATGTTATTGAGCCATGCAAGGTTAATTTGCAGATAAATCATGCCAACATAAATATAGTAAGTGCAGACAAAGGAATAAAATACCCAGGGCAAGAACTCCAAGAATAGGTCTGTGCTCTCAATTGCTCTTCATAGATAAAGAACTTGTATGACAGACAACTACCTTACTGATCAGGGAAGAATGGCCATTCCAGAAATGACAATGATAGACTTTTCCTAAGGTGTTTATCACTGTCTTATTATGTGTGTCAGGTATCATACACACACACACACACACACACACACACACATTGAAAAAAGGTAGCACATAAGATAAAGCATATAATATGGTAAGCATTCAGTGTTGCTGTTATTAACAACTTTGCCTTGGGAATGTGTCTGATTCCTTTTTTTAATATATATATGAAAAAACCATATGTAAAGAAGAACTCTTAGGTAGTTTGGGCTGGTCCTACCTGGAACAGGTCTTGGACTTGATCAACATTTCCAGAAATATGTTTCATAGAACCCTGAAACAGCAGAATTGATTGTAGTATGTTGCTAATGTAAGGGGTTCCTTGGGGGCAAATTTCTTCATTGAAGAATTTCCTGAACTCATCTTTTTATCAGTGTTCATTGAGAATCTCTAGGAGGCAAAGAATGTATATTGCTTTCCTAAACGTATTTGACTGCCTAAACCTTATATAAGGAGTACCTCACAGGATACCAGTAGTGGGAAGTACTTAAGTATTTTTTCAGTTCCCTTAACAGACCGTTTCCCACACGTTCTTGCCTACGCGGAACACGGAATTGACCTTTCACTCTGTTTTGATATTGTGAGCGCCATCTAGTGTCGTCTTATTGCCTAAACCCATTGCCTGGCAACCTGAGAGAACCCAAGTTCTGTTGCAGAGATTTGTCTCCCGCCTCCCCTGCTCCCCACCAGAACTCTAGTACAAAAGTAGGTAAGATGCTAAAAGATTTTTAAAAACAAATCATCACCTTGGGCTACATTCTATACGTGTATTGTGAGTGATCTTTTCACTCTAATTTCTCCTTTATGTATTTTGTCTTGGGATTCGCTGTAGAAAGAAATCCAATAATTGAACCTCCTTCTTGAGATATTCATTAGGGAAAATTTAGGGCATCCAGCAGGCAATCCCATTAGCTAGTGCAGTAGCTTCCTGAGGCATTTTTTCTGCAAAGCAAAAGATAGAAAGAAATTTGTTATTATTTGTTTCAAACCTTTGTTATGAAAAATGCAGAAAACAGCACCTAAAAGTAACAGCTCTAGAAAGATTG